ATGCAATTTCTCCATAGGATTTTGGAAAATAGCTCGAAATAAGGTCTGTGGTTGACACAAATTAAATAGACAGATCACGTTTTGTTCTACGACATTAAACACATCAGCAGTGACCCCACTGGTGATTTTTGAAGAGTTTACGTGTCTGAAAAACGATGGTTGTTAACATGTGGCTGAATAGGACTACAGAAATTGTCAAGGCCGTTCTACGTCATTACACCAAACACGTAAACACTCCCGCTAAGTTTGTTTTTTCCCCGTGATCTGCTTGAAAGCAAGTAACTGCCTCCTGCAAACTGTTAAAACAAAAGCTTCAACTTGTACAATTTTGAATCTGTATTTTTGAATATGGATCTTAAGTTGGCGTCACGTTGAAGCAGCGACCCTGCTGTAGTTCGTTTATAGCATAACGTTAGCATTTTGCTTCTGGCGATTAGATTTACGATTAGAACATTATAAAAGTAGGGTGGATATTATCCGACTGAACAAAACGTGATCCGTCTCTTAAATGTGTGTCAACCACAGACCTTATTTTGAGCTATTTTCCAAAATCCTATGGAGAAATTGCATTGCTTTTTTGTCGAAGGAACCGGAAGGAGTTTACTTCCGGGTTTTAGGACGCGTCACTGTGGCACTCCATGTGTAAAGACTTTTCCATAATAATGATAGCAGTTTTTTTTTATTCTGGACAACCTCATCTAAACATGTTGTGGGTAAACCCTGTTTAAAGTGGACCTATCATGCTATATTTAAATTATATATTGTAGGGCCATACCTATATAAGGTATATTTATACGTTTCTGTTTTCAAAATACCAAACAGATCATGCATTTTAGCCATGCCTCATTTCGCTCTATGTGCTGTTTGCTGTCTACGGGTCTGATTCTGCTGACCACGCCCCCCTGCAGGAGAGGTGAGCCGTGCTCTGATCAGCTGCTGGGCTGTCAGAAGAGGGGGAGAAAAAGAGATCTTCGTCCTCCGTGTTTTATTATATAGAGTCGTTATTAATTTGTTTTAAAGCTCAATAAATAACAAAGAAGACCTTTGACCGGCACTTTTCTAATTTTGTCCGGAAGATTTAAACTTTAACGGACATCTTGACCGGCAACTGAAACTGAAACTCTGCCGCACGGTCCCCTCGTTCCTTGGAAGAGGCGGAGAGGTGGGTGTTTGTCATCTGCTGGTGGACTAACCGGAGAGAATTACAGTGCTTGCCTCGACGGGGAGGGATTGCATTGAATTAAAGCAGCGGGAGCAAATGCTTGCCTCGGGGAGGGAGAAAAAAAGCCACAGCGGAGAATAAACAGAAGGGTAACCATGGTAACTATGGGCGGGAAGTCTTCTTCGCTGCTTTTGTGGCAGACTACAGCGCTACTTACAGGCCTGGCATATGTACTACAGCGTCTCCAGCGCTTTCGAGCGGCAATGGCCGGCCGTGGCCCAACCCCACATTCCCCTGATAGGTGGAGAGTTGGCCCAATAGCTGTAGCGCCACTTCTGTGACGACATAGAAGTGTTCAAATCTGGATCAGTCTGTATCAGATCCGTTGCAGCCCCTTTTTTAGAGATTTGGGTATGGAGGAAAATAGAGAGGGTTGTGTTTTCTGACACTTGGTGAGTTCCCTGGAACACCGGGGACACATTCATGTATAAAAGACGTACAAAAGTGCATTTTGCATGATAGGTCCCCTTTAAGCTAAATTTCTTCAGAAGATCAAACATTGGCTTGGTATGCATTTTACATGCATTTGCAATATTGATAGGGTCTTGATAGTGAACACTGTAATTTTTTTATTGTTATGTTATCCTCCCATTATTCTGCGGTTATACATTTTACGCTGTTATTTCTTATATCGCAATTCTATTCTTACAACAAGAAACCTTCAACTATACCTAACCTAAATTATTGTTAACATTAGCAATACATAACTGATATCCAATTATCTTTACTATTTTAATATACTGGAGGTGTTAGCCATGTTCACATATAGTACCTAATCCAAGCTGCAGTCATATGTGTTTTAATATACCCTCTACAAGTAAATGCTTTAAAATGAACCATCATGGATTCCATATGGTCAAATTAACTGCCGTGCATTTTTTGTAGTATAATTTTGTTTGATTTCAATGTGCAGGCGACACTGGACGGGGGCTGAGAGCCTGGGTTCGAGATGTGACTGAGCCGGATCTGTCCTTCAACCACATCCGGATCATTTACCCCACAGCTCCAGCTCGGTATGTCTAGATTAGACTAAATCAAATATCAATGTTTTTTTTTTGTCAATTACATTGGATAATGTAAGTTCAAACGTAATGTCTTTAAAAGGTCTTTGTAGTTGGAACATTATGGAGGAAATACAAGTTTTCATTGTCCCATTTTTCATTTGTATTATTCTTACTGCATTAATTATACAAGTTTGCCTGTAGTAAAACTGCAGCCATGTAGCAGAACACTGACCCTCATCTTGATGTCATCAGGCCGTACACCCCTATGCGAGGGGCTCTGTCTACTGTTTGGTTTGACCGTCACAAGATCTCGAGGGACTGCCCCGAGGACCGAGAGTCCATAGACGACATGTGCAACTCTCTGGGGTTAATCATTCAGGGCGAGGTCAACGCTGGGATCCCCAAACACAGGATCGTCATCGGTATGGATCTGGTTTTTACTTCACTTCTGCTGCATGTGAAATGTGAAAACAAAATAGCTATTTGTTCTTTTGCAGTAAGAACTGTATACCTATAGTCCTTGAGCTACTCAGAAGTGAAAAAGAATGATATAAAAACACATTTAAAAGAACATCGATTTGGGATCTTTACTGTTTTTTTAGCCCACCCCAAAAGACGTAATCAATACATCGTTCAACAGTTTTTTTTGTAAAAGAAATAGCATCTTGACTTCCCTTGGAGAAGTCAAGATCTCTCTTTCTGCAGATAGTGGTACCGTTTGTCATGCAGCTAATTGGTATTTTGGTTCTGACCAATCAGGTACCGTAACGCGTTTCTGTATGGCTTAAACAGGATACAATGTTAATCAATGAGCTTGAGCGTCAGGTGTATGGAGATGTATTTTTTAACCTTCGACATAGTCAGGCTTTCTAATTCCACCTGATTCCAGTCTTTATGCTAAGCTAGGCTAACTAACCTGTCCTGACTCCAACTCTGTACTTAAATAAAGAAACACAATAACAATGTACTATCTTAAAAAAAAGTGAGCTCCTTTAGTCAGGGAGTGAGAGGCTGACAGAGAGCATCCTCACAGTCTCTGCTGGCTCTCTCACTGGATCACACACACACGCACACGCACACGCACACACACAGAGCCTGGCTGTTCCTCACTCCCTCTGTCATGATATAAAATAAAGAATGCACTTCATCAGGTTACAGTGTTCTTTCATATGCTGCCAGCCGAGATTAAAAAGGTTTTCAGGGCGGGTTCTCAGGTCCTGAAAAGCTCTTTGCCTCAAATATTCTGCTTATCAAGTTCACGTATAAATAACAATGGAGTGAAAGCACTAGTATCAAGTACTAAAAACATTATGGCTGAGGCAAGGTAAGAGTTCTCACAGGAAACTTATGGGAGGCCATCAAGGGTTTAATGTCCGCCAGTGAAGGCTGCACATGAAAGAGGAAACCGCTGAGAGTGTTGGGAAAAGGGTGAACCCCCCAGCAGCCCTGAAATATAGAACTATACAGGAACACTGTGGTGTGTGTGAGGGGGGGGTGCATGAAAGACTGGACTCCAGAGAAAAGTGAGTGAAAAAACACATGCTCCTGGGAAGCTGCTGAAATATTATCTTACTAAATCATAACATTTTGTCATGAACTATAAATACTCAGTGGAGTCACTCGGCATGTACCCATGACCCCCCCACCCCGCCCACGCACTGACAATCGCCACAAGTTTCCATGGAAAAGATTTTTGAGGAGGTCGGCTGTGTGGGGGTGTTTAGTGTGGAGAGTGTGGGGGGGGGGGGGGGGGCAGACGCTTTACTTCTTAAGTCTATTGACATCAGGGTCAGAATGTGGCGTAAACACCATGAAAGCATGGATCCATACTGCCTTGTATTAACGGTTCAGGCTGAAAGTGGTGGTGTAATGGGAGGCTGTGGCGCAGTGCATTAGTGCGTTGGTGTTCGGATCACGGAAGCACAGGTTCAAACCCCACTGCAGTCAGCATGTCGTTGTGTCCCTGGGCAAGACACTTCACCCCAAATTGCTCCTGTGGGGATTGCCCACAGTATTGAGTATGTAAGTCACTTTGGATAAAAGCGTCTAACAAGTGACATGTAATGTAATGGTGTGGGGGATATTTTATTGGCATACTTTGGGCCCCTTAGTACCAATTGAGCATAGTTTTAATACTACCTGAGTATTGTTGCTGACCATGTCCATCCCTTTATGACCACAGTGTTCCCATCTTCTGATGGGTACTTCCAGCAGGATAACGCGCCATGTCACAAAGCTCAAATTATATCAAACTGGTTTCTTGAACATGACATATGTTAACTGTTCTCAAATGGCCTCCACAGTCACCAGATCTAAATCCTATAGAGCACCTTTGGGACGTGGTGGAACGAGAGATTTGCATCATGGATGTGCAGCAGTTTCCAAACCTTGTTGAGTCTATGCCACTAAAATTAAGGCAGATCTGAAGGCAAAAGGGGGTCCAACCCTGTACCAGCAAGGTGAACATAATAAAGTGGCTGGTGAGTGTATGTATGTGTAGTATTTACATAAAAAGAAGCTTCATTGACGGTACGCACGGCTCGGCACGGCTAGGGATGACAGTATTGGTCCGTACTGATGGCAACAACTTTTGGATTTCTTTGTGCTTGATGCTTATTTTTAATTGTTAAATTGACTGATATAATCATGCTGTATATTTCTAGCTTTGTGCGGGACCGCACAGCATTTTTATCATTTTTCCCATGTCCCAAAAATTAAGACAATGTCCTGCATTTGATTGACAGTTGCTCAGCAAGTCGAAACTTGGCCCTTGTCCAATGGTGGTCTAGAAAGAGAGAGAAGGCTACCATTAGCTGTGTCAGATGTCAATCAATCAACTAAATATGTATTTACTTATGGGTGTGGCCTGTGTGACTCTTTGTCCCACATGTGACTTGTCGGCACCTGGTCACCCTAAGTACATTTTTATATCTGCACTCTCCCTTAGGTTTTGTTGAATTTCCTTCAGTCGGTTTTTAATTGGCAGCAGCATTATCCCAGGCTCATCAGATAGTATTTTGCTTTATTTGAATAAGTGTGGACAAGCAAACACACGTACACACACACCGGTCCGTTCCCTAAACCATAGCTCAGATCGCTGCATGTCAGTTTGATTTGACTTGTTGGGCGAGACCTGTGAATTCCACCTCTCCTCTTCATCTGTTCCTCTCGCTCTGTTTTCACTCTCCCTCGTTCCTCCACTCTCTGACAGGATGATGGGTACTTGCACACTTTCCCAGATGTGCACAGTGTGCCCAGATGTACCCAGCTGTGTGAGATTAAGGACAGACTCATGAAACTGGCTGCATATACTAAGGCAAAAATAAAAGTGATGATGTGGAACTGAGGAGTACTATCCATCTTAATGTTTTTCTGTTAAAGTGAAGGATTCTCCACCACAGACTGCTTAAAGTGCCCTCAGAGTTCCTTATATGGAGATGAATATGTTTATTACTTTTTATATCCAACTTATACTTACTGTTTCTGAAGAAAAAACTGCTCCCAGAATTACCTTATTGCTCCCAGCTGATGATCTTTTCTCTTTTGTCCCTAACCAAAGGGGGGTTCTCGATGGGCGGAGCCATGGCGCTCCACCTGGCATGTCGGTACCACCCTGATGTAGCGGGAGTTTTTGCACTTTCCAGCTTCCTCAACAAGGACTCTGCTGCTTATCAGGTACATCACCAGCCATCAGTTTCTGTAAAATCAAAGGAATTAATTGTAACTTGTATAACTCGTGAATTCACGAACAATAGAGTGGTGCAGTGATGACGTATTTTTGTACGCCGACTGGGAAGTTAGCACCAATAGGGCTCCCTCGACAAAAAGCAATAGGATTTCCCCATTGGATTTCTTCACATTGCAGAAAATAAGCATTGTGCCAAACAAACGTTTATGGTACTCGTCTGGTTTTCTTCAGCAGAAAAATCGCAGAATATTAACACCACTTTATGATTTTTTAAGCGTAAATGCAATCAGCAGAAATAAAAAGCTAAACTTAGGCTATAAAAACTATTGCATCACAGTCGCATGACTTCACATCGCCACCACTAAGCTAAGAGCAGACTCGTGTTGGCATGATGACGTTTAGTCGTTTATTTAGTCACTTGATGAAACCGCTGTTTTTAATGACGCATAGAAGCTGGATCACGAGTGGGGTATTTACTGCCATATTTTGACATTATATCGAACAACAAAATATGAAAATCTATTCAGCTTGTGTTAACCACAGACCTTATTTCAGACATCTTACCACGAACAAGTTAAAACAGAGACAGTGGAACTGGATTTGGTCAATTGGTTTTTGGACTCATTACTGCACCACTCTATTGATTTTGCTGATAGAAACATGAATTGCGCATTTTTTCTAAGATAATTAAGCTTGATGCCAATGTGTGGGTTAAACCTTAGCTACAACAACTTCACTTCAGCTGTGACTTTATTTTTATGGACTCCTGTTGGATCCAGGCTTATTTGACTTTACTCCTCTGATTGTGCTAGGCCAGTACTGTGTATGCATTTGCTGGTAGGTGAAATTATACATCTTTAATATAGAAAATATTAACTAGATTCTAGTTATTCTAGGAATAGTAAATCCCGCTGTCCCAAAGAGCTGATAAATTGGAATTGCTTTTTTTCTTTGGAATAATAACGAGGGGTTACGTATGGTAACCCTTGTTATATAAACACAGGCGGAGCCCTCTACTGGACTCTATGGGTACTCCCCTCGATCCTATCATGCAAGCATTCATCCACTGAGACTAGGCTTGTTTGAGATGAGCGAGACCGACGCAGACCTGCGCAATTGCGATCGCCGTCTTGCTAGTGCGTTGCATGATGGTTAGTCATTTTGTCCGACTTGCTCTGGAGGCTCGCCTACATGAGACGTTGAAATATCGCGGGACAAAGACGCCGGCAGCCTTGAGAGCGAGGCGGCGCAGTTTCTCTCCACGGGCTGCGGAAGCGAAATGCTTGATGGGAAACGACTCGCTGGTATCTCGAGCTGAGCGCTCATTGGTGGTGTTTACCCCGTGCTGGTGATGAAACTCTCCACTCCAGTTTTTTGTTGTTTTGTGTTAGTTTTACGTCGCCACTTCCATTCACATTTTTCATCATTGTTCCACAATGTTTATCATCATGAAATTAATATCTATATATTTTATACTATACTTGCACTGCTTACCGTTTTCATACTTTATATATCTTAGCATATTCATACACACTGTTCATACTGCTCACAGGCTGCTGTGTATATCTAGTGTATTCATACCCCTCACTGTTTATTCATCATTCAATTCATTCTTTATTTTATTCTGTAGATTGTGTACATTACTTTTCACTTTACTGCTTTTTGCACTCCTGGTTAGAAGCTAAACTGCATTTCGTTGTCTCAGTACCTGTAATCTGTGCAATAACAATAAAGTTGAATCTAATCTTGAGCAGGAACAAATGTATTTACTTAGTACATATCTGACTTTAACACATTTTTACATTACATGTTACTTGTTAGACGCTTTTATCCAAAGTGACTTACATACTCAATACTGTGGGCAATCCCCACAGGAGCAATTTGGGGTGAAGTGTCTTGTCCAGGGACACAACGACATGCTGACTGCAGTGGGGTTTGAACCTGTGCTCCCCTGATCCGAACACCAAGGCTCTATCCACTGCGCCACACGCCTCCCTTTGTGCATTCTTTATAAATGCAAACCGAGTCAAGCCGACTCCGGAGGTGGCGGTATGCACCTTAAAGTTGTTTGCAATCCGCCAAAAAACCGAGAGAAGAAGAAGAAGAAGCCGACTCAAAGCTGTCCGACTTCAGGCGAGCTTTTTGAGACCTCCCCCGGCTGCAATCGGCTAATCTCGTCTACTTTCGAGGCGAGCCGCAGCTCATCTCAAACAAGCCTACTTTCTAGACGTAGCCGGCCCCGGGGCGGGCCTACCTGAATGTGCGCGCATCTCACCGCATAAAAGGAGGCCTCGCTTCCTTACTGTCATCCTTTACTTCTCTTCAGCAAGCAGCATAGGACAGACAGGGCCCCTGAGTAGAGGGCTCCGCCTGTGTTTATATAACAAGGGTTACCATACGTAACCCCTCGTTATATCTCTCACAGTCTCCGCCCTCTACTGGACACAGTGGGCGGAGCCCCGATGTATACACGCGCTGTCGTCCCACAACAACACTGTCCCAGCCTCTATGGGCCCATGTGCGAGTCACTTCGTAACGTAAGCGCATTACGCCCGGAGAGGGGTCAGATGCCCACTGACCCACAGCCCCCCTCCCTCCTCACCAGTCCTGCGTTGCCCCAGCAAGCACAGACGATGAAAAGGAGCCAGACATGTCCAAGAGATAAAACGTTATGAAGGGGACTGGCGTTGACCAAGACGCCGCCGTGCATATGTCCTCCACACTCACGCAGTTAAATAAGGCTGTTGACACAGCCATGGCTCGTGTAGAGTGTGCACGGACCCCCGTGGGGAAGGCTCTCCCCGCCTGTCCGTAGGCATGTGCAATGCACTCGCAGAGCCAGCCTGCCAGGCGTTTCTTGGACAGAGCTTTCCCAGTTACCCCACCCCCGAAACACACAAACAGCTGTTCAGTGCGTCTAAGGGCAGCCGTGCGCTCCACATAATATGCCAGCGCACGCACCGGGCAGAGGAGGTGTAATTTAGCCTCCCTCGCCCCACTATGGGGTGGAAGATTAAAGCCCCCCAACTGAATAGACCTCGACCTGAACGCACTCCTTAGGCTCTTGGGCACAAAGGAGGGGTTCGGTCTGAGTGTCGCCCCGCTCCGGTCACCCCGGGTCATTAAACAACTCGGGTGCACCGATAGAGCGGTTAACTCGGACAATCTTTTGGCTGACGTTAAGGCAAGTAGCAACGCTGTCTTCCACGACAGTGCTTTCAGGGAGGAGAACTCTAGAGGCTCAAATTATTCTTTGACCAGAGCCTCGAGCACCAGCGGCAGGTCCCACTGCGGGGCGGAGGCGCGTACTACTGGGCGCAGCCTCCTGACCCCCCGCAAAAACCGCAACATTAGTGGCTGAGAAAAGGCTGACCTGCCGTCAAATCCCTCATGGCAGGACGAGATGGCTGCTGCATACACTTTCACTGTGGAATGAGCAAGCCCTCTGTCCACCAATAACTGTATTGAACAGATCCACCTCTGCTGTCCCGAACCGGGCCCAGATCCGCTTCACCACCTCCGGGTGAAGCGCCCACTCGCCTGGCAGGGGGCCGCCCCTCGACATGAGGTCGGCCCCCCTGTTCTCCAGACCCGAAATGTGGAGGGCTCTCAGAGATAACACCACCTCTGAAGCCCATAACCACAATTTCTCCGCTGTGGTCAACAAAGCAACAAAAACTCCGCCCTGCCTGTTGATATATGCCACTGTGGTGCTGTTGTCGCTCCTGACCATTACATGTCTCCCCTGAATTAAGTGTTTGAAATGCTGGAGGACCAACACTACTGCCCGTAGCTCTAGGAGGTTGCTGTGCCGTGTCTCTGTTAGAGACCAGCGCCCACCTATAGCTCTCCCCAGGCAGGTCCCTCCCCATCCTGTTCCGTGTACACTGTGATGTAGGAGGTCACCCGTCCCAGTGGGGACCCCCTCCGGAGGTGATCCGGGGACCCCCAGAACCCTCCACTGAGGGGGGGATGGTCACCAGACGCCGTTTGTGTCTCTTGAGATCGAAACGCAGGCTGGAGAACCACCTCTGCAGGCGGCGCATATGCAGTGACCCGAGCGGGACCACAACGTGAGCCGCCGCCATGAGACCCAGGGTCTGTATGATAGTCAAAGCTATCACTGTTGCCCCCTGTCGCAGTCTGCAAACTGCACGAAGCAAGGATGCCTGTCTGCTCTCTGACAGGGTGGCGCGTAGCCTGCCTGCATCGAGCACCACTCCCAAATACAGCGCCTGTTGGTGAGGTATGGGGGTGCTTTTCTTCCAATTGATCACAAAACCCAACTTGGTTAGGTGTAGGATCTACTGGGCTGTATAAAACATTGCCCGTTCCCTGGACCTGGCCATAACTATGAGGTCGTCCAGATAAAAGAAAACTCATGCCACGGCCGCGCAGCGGCTGGAGCGCTGTGGCCACACATTTGCTGAACGTGCGTAGGGACAGGGAGTAGCCGAACGGTAGCCTGTTGTACTCGCAGGCCACCCCCTGGAAGGCAAAACGCAAATACTTTCTTTGTTTCGGAGCAATCTCGACATGAAAGTAAGCGTCCCTCAGGTCGATGGTTGTAAACCAGGGGTGCTCACACTTTTTCAGCTTGGGAGCTACTTTAAAATGACCAAGCCCAAATGATCTACCTACAGGGCCCCTGTGTCGCGAGCGGTGCTAGTGGACTAAACGGCGGATAAACTGTGGCGCGCTTACACTAATTGCGCGCATAATAGTGCGCCGCATTTGCGCTTCAGATGAGGAGGTGAGGCCCCCTCATAACTGCATGAACCCGTATGGCACAATACAAACTGGCTTACCTGTACGTCAATCAGGTGGCAAATGCCATAGTAAGGATGGATGATAGGCTAACTTCTTTTTTTTCCAATGCCATGCGATCTACCCACACTACCTTTGCGATCGACCGGTCGATCGCGATCGACGTATTGGGCACCCCTAAACCAATCGCCTGGCTCTACCAGTCCCAGTAACTGTTTTATAGTTAGCATCCGGAATTTTCTGCGTAAAAATAAAATCAAGAATTTTTTTTAAATAATAATGATAATAATAATAAAAGACTATGAAATAGGAGATGAATGGAGGAGGGATGCTGCAAAACTGGAGTGAATAACTCAGTCTCAGCGTCCTGTCCATCCACTCCGTTAACACGCAGCTGCGCTTCCATTCCCCATAACACTGGGTTAGGGGATGTGCAATCAGCTGTGGGGCCCCAGCGATAAAGCTGTGGTACTCTCTGTTGACCCGTCCCGCCGCAAAAAACCCCCGCGAAGGGAAGCTCTGCCCATGGGGGGTCGACACAGAAAGGGCCGACTCGCCGCCAGTCCACTCCTGGAGGACGGAGCTCCCCACCCGGTCCCTTCGCTGCCGCGGTCGGGCACCCCCTCCTCGAGGTCCTCCATCTCCACCACGTCAAGCTCCGGGTCCTCCACCGGCGAGACGTAGCAGTCCTGATGGCGCTGATGGCGGCTGGGGCGAGGAATTAGTCAGCAGGCGCTGCAGACCGTGAGCGGGCCCAGGTTGGCCCGCCGCGTGGTCGGACCCCAGGCACTCAATGCACAGGCGGTGGGGGTCGGCGCCTTCCATGGCGCCCAGACACGAAGGACAGGGGCGCTATTCCAGCAATGGTGAGTCCATTCTCTTCGTATTGTTTTTTTATTTGTATCCGACTTGTATCCGACTTCACTGCCTTGCTGAAGAGAAAGGGATGACAGTAAGGAGACGAGGCCTCCTTTTATGCGGTGAGATGCGCGCGCATTCAGGTAGGCCCGCCCCGGGGCCGGCTACGTCTAGAAAGTCTCAGTGGATGAATGCTTGCATGTAGGGATGCTCCGATCGCCGATCCGATCGAGTGGGCGGGGCCTAAATGGAAGATTTAAAGTGATGTTTAAAACTCAGTTAATGGGGCTCATTCACTGGAGCTTCCACAAACAACAATCAACTTAATTATTACATTCAAATGATGTACATTATTCAAGTTTACATTCACTTTGGATAATAACACGGGAGAAATGAGCGGAAGCGCTCTCTTTTCCTCTCTCCCTCTCTCCCTCTCCTGACAGCCTGTCAGTATCCGTCTCATGCAGCTCACTGATCCAGTAATGAGTGACCCGACAGTGAAGAATAAATATATTTATAACTAGTTTAGCTTGTTCCAGAGGTAGATAAAATAGCTAAGTGTGTTAGGTCTAACTCTTAATGTGTGTTTCGCTCCGCTCACCGGTCCGTCACTGCGGGTGGAGCTGCAGGATTTCTGCTTCACACACACGTTGCATACCGCTATTTTACTGTCTTTCGGACACCTTAAAATAATGCCAGACCGGTGAAGCCATTTTGGCGAGCTTGTTTTGCCGCGCACAGAGAAAAGTGTCATGTATTTTACGTCATGCGATCGGCTCTCGCGATCGGCATGTTTAGAGAGCACCGATCCATCGGTAGAGAGTGAGTATCGGCCGATCTCGATCGGTGACCGATCGATCGGAGCATCCCTACTTGCATGATAGGATCGAGGGGAGTACCCATAGAATCCAGTAGAGGGCGGAGCCTGTGAGAGATATAACATTTGAAATGTATCTCAGCTCTACCCAATATTTGTTTGCAATAAATAAACCAGCCCAAACCATTAATCATGTAATAATGATTATGGTCCTGCACCTTTAAGACTGAGCAGGCATTAATTGATGAAATGATCTAACAATATTCATAAAGCATTTTTCTTCTTCCTGTGAAGGCAGTGGAGGAGCGCCTCGGAGCAGACCTGCCCCTCCCTGAGTTGCTCCAGTGCCATGGAACCAAGGACGACCTGGTGCTCCATCAGTGGGGGGAGGACACCTCCGAGCTGCTGAAGAAGGCTGGCATGGCCACCACCTTCCACTCCTTCCCAGGCCTGCACCATCAGCTGTCCACGCCCGAGATGGAGCTGCTGAGGGGCTGGATCCTCAAAAAGATTCCCCCCCTCACCTCCTCCTGACTCACCCTACCTCTTTTTTTCTCACAGAATGTATTATTTTGTGTGTCTTTTTTTAAGTTTGCCATGTTTGTATGTCATTTATTAAATGTGTAACTCATATAGAGCGACTTAATCAGCGGTTATTCAACATTAATGGGGTTATACGTGCATATATGTAGAGCAGTGAGTGTACTGAGTCTCAGAGTGCAGAAACAGGACAGCTGTGACAGGAGTGGTCCGGCAGTAAGATTTAACAGTGGCCCCTCCCGAATTAAGAATATACCGAATAGTGAGTTTCACATTGAACATCTGACGGCCATGTCTGATCAATCTAGTCATGGGAAAGTGTTTTGAAAGACAAAACAAGTACATTTTTAGTTATATAGCTGCACATATAATAGAGGTTATCTCAAGACCTTTTTTATAAAGAGCAGGTGCAGACCTTAATATTTGAATGTGCCTTGAAAAGTCAAAAAAGGGAACATGATAGATTTGAGTGTTTTCAAAGTGTGAGGCTGAGAATGAGCATATAGTTTTTCAGATCTGTGATACAGAGGCAAAGATAGTACTAGCCTGTTATTGCGCACCTGCTACTCAATGTGAAGAGAGGCACATGATGAAACTAGAGAATGCAATTCCTGAAAAAATTGCGAGTGGGAATGCTTTATGCTGAAAAGCTGACGCTAAACTGCTATGCTGAAATGTAATGTGTAAGAAGAAAGTGAAGAATTTAGATTGAAATGATACATGAACACTGGGGGCTTGAATGTGTGATGAGTGAAGAAAAGAAAGTAAAAAGGCTTGGAAAAGCAGCAGAATATTTGAACTGAAAACTTTTGAACTAACTTGATGGTGAATGATCTGTCGCCATGGCAATGGCATTTGATGACACCCCATAATACGCTTAGATGCGTTGATGGCTGCATCGTTATCAAACCTGTGAAGTTTTGGGCCGTTTGGAACATTTTCACTGAAGTTATGAGAAAACCGTGTTTCATGGCGAGCATTGTGTTGCCATGGCAATGGCATTTGAAGAAACCCCATATTTGACGTAGAGCTGTTTAGGGCTGGATCGGTGATATACAAGCGAAGTTTGGGGGACGATCGGACCGTTTCCATTGGACTTACAGCGACATCGTGCTTCATGGCCTGTCGCCATGGCAACGGCATTTGATGACACCCCATAATACGCTTAGATGCGTTGATGGCTGCATCGTTACCAAACCTGTGAAGTTTTGGGCCGTTTGGAAAATTTTCAGTTAACGACATTTGAAGAAACCCCATAATTGACGTAGAGCTGTTGAGGGCTGCGTTTTACCATATGGTGTGTGTGAGAGAGAGAGCGAGAGAGTTGGAGTGATGACATCATCGTGTTCCATTACACAGTAGTTTATAGTTGAGCTAACAAGCTCTGTAGAGATCAAAGGTTTGCATTGTTCTGAATGAGAGATAAACCTCTTACATGTGAACGTTTTGTGGAAGAATCATAACAGATATCTGAAATTTCAAAACGTGAAGCATGTCAAGGAAGTTGAGTATCTGAAGTGTAATTTTTGTGTACTTTCAGGTTAATAATGTGGCCTTTTTGGCAGTTTATCTAAAGGTGTGTGGCTGCTGCTGTGAGGAAATATCAGCCTGAAATTACAATGGGTTTTAATGGAGACATGTTGAACGTTTTTGTCACTTCATGCCCTCAAGAGGCATTTTGTTTAAACGAGATGTTTTCCTACGTTTGTCATGAAAAATTATGTCTCAGGAATGTAGGGTTTGGGAATTATGGCAGTTTTTAAAAAAAATATGAAGGCAAATTTCAAGATTTCCTACCCTCTAGCTGTGACATCACGCACTCTAGTTAATGTTAAAATCTGAAGAAAGCCTCTTTACCAAGGTCTGAACAATGTTTAATATCTCTAAATATCAGATTTAAAAGTTGTGTTACACGAATAATGTCAGAAAGATGTGTAACATTTTAAAGTTGGAATGAGGTTTCTGAGTGAATGTATGAATGAACAGTTAGCAGTTGAAGTCGCATGAAGATTGTTCAAGTCTGAAGATTTTCTCCATTGACTTCAATGGTTAAAAATGTGATGAATTATGGGATGTATCTCTGGAATTATGAAAGTTATGAATAATCCAAATGATAGCCATCGATTCCCGACCGAGCTGAACGTTTTGATGTTTGAACAGAGTTTCTGTGATGTTGAATGCAGGAGAAGAGGTGCAAAGTTCCGGCGGAATAATAATATTTTTGTCCGTAGAAGAACATATAGTTGGAATGCTGTATCAGCATTCCCACTCAATTTTGAAGCCTCCTTCTGTGGGACTGATGGTAGAAGCCATGTTATGTATGTAAGATCCCATTCAATATCAGCTTGGCCATTGTCACACATTGACATATATGATATTGGCATATTGTAAAGGCCAGCTTATTAATATCATGAATGCCAAACATTCAAATTAAAATGGTGTTTTATGACAACACTACGAGAGAGCACTGACAAGTTTATTTTAACAATTTAAAATATCTTAATAACTGCTTATCTTAATAGACCAAAGGAATTCATGAGATCTTTGATAAGTTATGTTTATATGTTATCAGCATGAATAGAGTGGTGCAAGAATAAGTCCTAAAACCCGGAAATGACTTAGCATTGTAATGGCGGTGCATATTTGTTTAGTTGAAGGGCTGATTGTCGTAGTCCAGTTTGCTACTTCCACGTAAAAGCTAAGATACAGGATTTTAAATGAGCACACCAGACTTGGAAGAGACATTGAATACATAAACCTACCATGACGCTTTATTACTGCTGCTTACAGAGCACTGCAGTCCTTAACCTATAAACTACAGATTACACCTCACCCCGCCTTTCAATCACACATGTACACTGCCCCCCCCCTCTCTCATGTCAGGGAAGCCATTATTTTGTAACCTCCAAAAAGCTTTGTTCTTTGATTTAGTGATAGTAATAAGCTAATTTGAAAACCACCTTTAATATGATGCTTGACAAAGATAGTGATATGCAATCTGAGTAAACATGCTTGAGGCGGTGCACAGGGACACAAGCATTGCGTCTTGCTGCAAAGAAACAGGTATTACTGCATCCACGATTGTCCACATTCCAACACATAAAGTGAAGGTCCAAAACTCTAGCTTTTATTTTGCCAATGAGGCAATTTTCATGCAATTGGGATTTTTAGACTTAAAGGAGCCATGTCATGCTTTTCCGGTTATTACCCGTCCCCTTGTGTGTTATGAAGGTTTTTATGCATGTAAACGGTGTGCAGAGTCAAAAACCCTCAAAGTACACCCTGTAGGGCAGGGGTATTCAACTAAAATTCAACGAGGTCCAGTTAGAGAAAATCTCCCCATGCTAAGGTCCGGAACATCAAAATGTCTAACTTGCTTTATGAATTAGTGTGATATATATTGAAGTAGCCTGTAGCTTTATCAACGTCTGCATGTAATCAACAACTGACTGCCAATCAAATAAAGAAAGTACAATTCAAAAACAACAATATTTATTGTCAATTAACATTGAACTATACAGATATACAGTAACATACTGTGGATATGTGTAATGTTCCTCTCGGGCTGCATTTAGAAATAAAATAGAGAAAATAAATAAAATAGCTTTTGAAAATATGTGCATCTTAAAAGTGCTTAATTTGAGATAAATAAAATAAAGTGTAGCAGCAGCTTGAGTTTCCCTTTCTCTTTGTTAACCGTTTCACATCATGACCTAACAGTTTCAGACGATTATAGAACAATATCAGTCTTTACACATCATAACTATTGAACAGTTTTAAAGTTTCTCTTTCTTTCCCTCTTATATTGCAGTCCCTCACTCACTTTTTTTTAATTCAGTGCGAGAATTGAGCTCGAGCTTGTCCTGCCAGGAGTTTAAATCTGGGCTGAAATGGTGCCCTGGAACGATATTTAGTTTTAATTTTGATCCTGGTGGACTGATCATATTGGGCTCTGAGACTGCTTATTTTTTGTGACCTCAGTTCTGACTTGAGAGGGAATGTTTGGTCAAACACTTTGTGTTTTGTCTCATAGTGGCGTTTTGGCACTTTTAATGAGCGCCACGGTCTCTGAACAAATGAGACACACTGGCTCTGTGCTCCCAGTTGGCCGGATGAACATGAATGAGTCCGTCCACTCAGGGTTAAAAGCTCTGTTCTCACTGTCCACTTTCCTCTTCTTGGAGAGCGCCATGTGTCATTATTTGTCTCTCCCTGTCTGCCGCTAACACGCCTGTTCACTCTCCTCTCCCTGTATCGCTAATTATTCTCTTCACTCACTTTCCTCTCCGCTTCTCTCTGCCACTCTCTCATCTCTTCTTCTGTGTTTCTCTCCCTGTATCGCTCACTCGTCTCTTTCGCCCCCTGTCGGCAGCGGTTAAAATAGAATTGCCCCGTCAAAATTGAAATCCCCTATTAATGTATTGATTATAGGTCCGGGTCCGTATAGGTCGGCGCCTGGGTCCGGATCCGGACCGCGGTCCGCCTGTTGCCGACCCCTGCTGTAGGGAGTAAAACTCTAACACAGAAAAGACCTCCCCAAAACGCCTCGTTGGAGATGTCTCATGTTCTTCCTGGGCATCGTGACGTCTGGATACCCAGTAGCCACGCCCAGAGCTATGACGCACCCTCTGCCAGCCAAGCATATATACTGTTGGAATCTCAGGTTCAGTTCAAAACAGTGCTAACTGAGCTAATGAAGTTGCTAGCGTTTACATATATCAACTACAATGTCAGCAGATGGCCGTACATGTTTCTCATAGCAGGAGAATGTCTGCATTCACACACGAAATACTCATAGACAGTATACTCCGGGTGATTTACCCTACGGTCAGTACATTATAGTTGGCGTTCCTAACCGATCTACCGTTCATAGCGTGTATGCTACCGAGATAAACAACGACGCTACCGAGAGGTAGACATGCTAGGCGAAAACATTGTTTTCATGCCAGCTACAATGAATGACCGACACGTAGCAGACTACCGTATAAGATTGCAATTGTAAACACGTTATTGCTAGCCTAATATGAACCACTAGCTTTTGTTCATAGTGGTTTTATTACACAGAACAAGCCATTGACACAGTGCTAACTGGGCTAACGAAGTTGCTAGCGTTTACATATATCAACTACAATGTCAGCAGATGGCCTTACATGTTTCTCATAGCACGAGAATGTCTGCATTCACACACGAAATACTCATAGACAGTATACTCCACGTTATTGCTAGCCTAATTTGAACCACTAGCTTTTGTTCATAGTAGGTTGGCATATTACACTGAACAACTAGCAAACGTAGGTTAGCTTATACAAAAACTGATGCTCCGCTCAGAGCCGCAAAAACACTGTGTTAGACATGGGTGGAGCCTCTCTGGTGGTTGACTAATCGGAGCACACTGGGCTCACAGGGAGGGGGGGGGGGGCAGGAGCTCAAACAAGCCGTTTAGGGCAGAGAGTGAATACACATACTTTACAGAGATGCTGTATGCGAAACCAATGTGAGTTTGGAAAATTGCACAGTATAAATCTATTTTAGTGTACCTCAACAATGGAATTATGATCAGTGGAAATGGCCATGACATGGGCCCTTTAAGCAACATCCTGTTCTCCCCATCAGCAAGGAAGCATCAACTTACAGCATCTGTTGTATCCC